ACTCCATAATGCCAGCCTAGTTCGGCGAGGGTGGTACCTGGACTTTCATAGTCAGTTAACTCCCTTGTGTAGGGAAGATGGTTAAAATGAGTGAGTGGGGATTTTTGCTGCTTTTATCTATACATCAGTCATATCACGGAGGGGATCAGATATTGCCGCCTTACAATTTTGGGGACTGAATCCGAGCCTTCAGTGTGACGAGCGAATGCTGCAACCATTAGACTACCCCCGATTCCGTTGCTATGTTTACCAGAAGTACTGACAGTTGACCCAATGCCATGTTTCACTGTCACAGATTCGGTTCCTCATTCACAGTTTGGGGTTGACAATTGGTCTTCAGGAACCCATGCTGAACAACAAAAAATATGCTGATTTAGTTTCTGTCAACAGATTTACATCTATTTGCTGATCTGGAAACTGCAGTCCATATACATTTATATTTCTTGTCATTATGCAAGACTAATATTTGTACAAGTTTATCCAAGCCCTGTGGCCCTGAAACAAACAGGGCCCTGTTCCACAAAGTTTTCTTAGTCGTATTCGCAACCTTTATATTCATAACGTTCATCGCAGCGCTAAGATCACTTTGTGGAACGACCCTGTCTGCTTCAGGTGAAAGGTATGCAACCAAACACTTTATAATATTAAAGAATTACCCCGCCTGTTGTGATCAATAACATACTAGATTGATGGAGTGAATATGTTATGAAAAGACATAAATATGATACTAAGAAATAATATATCCGATCACAAGTTGATTCCTCAATACAATCGATCACAAGTTGATTCCTAACTACAATACAAGTTCCAAGCATATATTACTTTTCCATTTCAGTCAGGTGAACAGGGGCGTATTATGTATGTACTCGGGAGCGGACGGCAGAATGGCGCGGTGTGCGGAGGAGGAGGGGAAGTTGGAGGGGTTGAAGGCTGCCTACCTGTTGTTCCTGCTCGCATACGCTCCCCCGGGATTCACCTATAACCATACCTACATCACCGATACCACTGACAGACATTAGACATCGCCTTCATAAACAGTGTCACTGACAGACGAGGGCTGATGTCCATGTAGCCTCAGTAGCAACTAGTCTCTAGGCTACGGAGTAACTGCAAATTGACTGATGTCCACGTAGCCTAGAGTAGCAACCATTGCCCCCATACGGACCGTCTCTAGGCTACGGATTAACTGTACATTTGCTGGTGTCCATGTAGCCCTCAGTAGCGACTAGTCTCTAGGCTACGGAGTAACTGCAAATTGACTGATGTCCACGTAGCCTAGAGTAGCAACCATTGCCCCCATACGGACCGTCTCTAGGCTACGGATTAACTGTACATTTGCTGGTGTCCATGTAGCCCTCAGTAGCGACTAGTCTCTAGGCTACGGAGTAACTGCAAATTGACTGATGTCAACGTAGCCTAGAGTAGCAACCATTGCCCCCATACGGACCGTCTCTAGGCTACGGATTAACTGTACATTTGCTGGTGTCCATGTAGCCCTCAGTAGCGACTAGTCTCTAGGCTACGGAGTAACTGCAAATTGACTGATGTCCACGTAGCCTAGAGTAGCAACCATTGCCCCCATACGGACCGTCTCTAGGCTACGGATTAACTGTACATTTGCTGGTGTCCATGTAGCCCTCAGTAGCGACTAGTCTCTAGGCTACGGAGTAACTGCAAATTGACTGATGTCCACGTAGCCTAGAGTAGCAACCATTGCCCCCATACGGACCGTATCTAGGCTACGGATTAACTGTACATTTGCTGGTGTCCATGTAGCCCACAGTAGCGACCACTGCCACAATACGGACCGTCTCCGGGCTGCAGAGTAACTGTAAATTGACTGACATAAATGTAGCCTTCAGTAGCGACCACTGCCACAATACGGACCTTCTCTAGGCTACGGATTAACTGTAAATTGACTTGACATAGATGTAGCCTTCAGTAGCGACCACTGCCACAATACGGACCTTCTCTAGGCTACGGATTAACTGTAAATTGACTGACATAGATGTAGCCTTCAGTAGCGACCACTGCCACAATACGGACCTTCTCTAGGCTACGGATTAACTGTAAATTGACTGACATAGATGTAGCCTTCAGTAGCGACCACTGCCACAATACGGACCTTCTCTAGGCTACGGATTAACTGTAAATTGACTGACATAGATGTAGCCTTCAGTAGCGACCACTGCCACAATACGGACCTTCTCTAGGCTACGGATTAACTGTAAATTGACTGACATAGATGTAGCCTTCAGTAGCGACCACTGCCACAATACGGACCTTCTCTAGGCTACGGATTAACTGTAAATTGACTGACATAGATGTAGCCTTCAGTAGCGACCACTGCCACAATACGGACCTTCTCTAGGCTACGGATTAACTGTAAATTGACTTGACATAGATGTAGCCTTCAGTAGCGACCACTGCCACAATACGGACCTTCTCTAGGCTACGGATTAACTGTAAATTGACTGACATAGATGTAGCCTTCAGTAGCGACCACTGCCACAATACGGACCTTCTCTAGGCTACGGATTAACTGTAAATTGACTGACATAGATGTAGCCTTCAGTAGCGACCACTGCCACAATACGGACCTTCTCTAGGCTACGGATTAACTGTAAATTGACTGACATAGATGTAGCCTTCAGTAGCGACCACTGCCACAATACGGACCTTCTCTAGGCTACGGATTAACTGTAAATTGACTGACATAGATGTAGCCTTCAGTAGCGACCACTGCCACAATACGGACCTTCTCTAGGCTACGGATTAACTGTAAATTGACTTGACATAGATGTAGCCTTCAGTAGCGACCACTGCCACAATACGGACCTTCTCTAGGCTACGGATTAACTGTAAATTGACTGACATAGATGTAGCCTTCAGTAGCGACCACTGCCACAATACGGACCTTCTCTAGGCTACGGATTAACTGTAAATTGACTGACATAGATGTAGCCTTCAGTAGCGACCACTGCCACAATACGGACCTTCTCTAGGCTACGGATTAACTGTAAATTGACTGACATAGATGTAGCCTTCAGTAGCGACCACTGCCACAATACGGACCTTCTCTAGGCTACGGATTAACTGTAAATTGACTGACATAGATGTAGCCTTCAGTAGCGACCACTGCCACAATACGGTGGGTGGGTGAGTTCGGTTTTACGCCGCTTTTAGCAATATTCCAGCAATATCACAGCAGAGGACACCAGAAATGGGCTTCACACATTGTACCCATGTCGGGAATCGAACCTGGGTCTTCGGCGTGACGAGCTAACGCTTTAACCACTAGGCTACCGACCGCCCCGCCACAATACGGACCGTCTCTACTGTACATTGGCTGAACATGAACTCAATAAATAGATACGATGAATGATATCGAAATATGTTTGGTTTGGGTTTTTTTACACGTCACCTCAACGTTTTCGCATACGTCTGAACAGCGACAAAACAAGTGCAGGTAAATACGCGTGCGCGGTATGGTGGTCGCATATCAAATGTATCCTTACGTCGCTATTATTTGAAACCTCTGATTGATTGATCAGTCAGAAATGGATGTTCTCTGTTGCTATTTTAGTGTTGTAGTTAAATTGTCATTATGGTGTGCATGAAACATCAAATGTACTTTGTATATTACTTCATTTATTTGCCGTTTCTAAGGCAGACAACACTATGTCCATACTTATTTATCATGTGCCAAATTTCAAGTGTTTTGAGGTACAACGTATTGATTATATGTCCGTCGAGATCTCAAACTCCCTTCAAGTCTTCTTCATACTAACTTTGACTTACGAAATACCCAAGGTCTTGTGGACTCGTGTTGTTGTTGTTGTTGTTGTTATTGTTGTTGTCGTTTGCCAATACCATATTTTAGCTGCAAAACCCGTTTTCTTCTCCAACACGTTCTCAAATATTAATTCTCTCTCGCCATGATGATTTGGAAGGGCGACGTAAGGTGCGTTTCCTTGGCAACAACCCACATGACGGAAATGGCTATGGATTTGTATCTTTGCGTGTAACAGGTCTGTCGGCAGACCTTATGGTGTCTTCAGACCGATGTTGCAAGACAACTTGGTACATCCTCAAGTGCAGATGTTGATGATTTAAAATGGATAATATTATTATGATTATACTGAGTGACTACGAGGTCCTTGAAAACGGAAGAATGTCTGATATTGAATGAACTCTCAAAGTTTGTCCTTTTTGAATAAGTCAAAATGTTGAAACAGAATATCCCTTTACTTTTGTAAGTCAATTTTCTAAAACTCAGAGAGAATAAGTGAGTGAGTTGGCTTTCAACGCCGCTTTAATCAGTATTCCTGTTATATCATGGTGTGTCAGCTTAATGTGAGAGGAAAGCCCGAAGTGATGCAGGTCTCAGACATTTACCACCTTGGTGAAATCCATGAGCACAGGTTTGGTGCAGACAAACCTTAAACCATAATTGGGTGGAACCGGGATTCGAACCCACAATCATAATTTGCTGGCGTGCCCAAGGGACGCAACTCTGTACAGCGAGATGCGGCGCCTTAGACGACTGGGCCTCCCTTGTCGGCACAATAACAAGTAGATCTCAGGTCGGATTGCCAATGAAAATGTTATAAAGTGTTACTTGAAGAGTTTTTATACAGTTCAATTCAAATGAGGGGTAGCCTTGTGGTTGAAGCGTTCGCTCGTCACGCCGAAGACCCGGGTTCGATTCCCGACATGGGTACAATGTGTGAAGCCCATTTATGGTGTCCCCTCGCCGTGATATTGCTGGAATACAATGTATTTTTAAAAGCGGCGTAAAACCATACTTACTCAATATTTATTATATATATTATATTATATATACAGCAGTATCAATATATCTGCCAATGAACATTGAATAACAACTCTGTTATCACCACAACGTGATTATCATTCTAAGAAATGCGATCGTGGGCTGGCACACTATCTACAACACGACACACTGACAGATGCTTCTGACTACTGTGATTCAAGTGACTGTTATCAGGACCGTCCTTAACAGAGCATCACGCTGGTCACATGTCCAGCTCGCGCAACTGTGGGAAACTTACCTATGTATTCCGTAAGTAAACGAAACCTTTTACAGCATTAGAGGATACAGTTTATACAGTCGTATGGACAGTTTTAAACGACATCTTCATATCGCAATTAGAATCAAAGAGCGAAACAAATAATATAAAGCAAGTTGGTTTTCTCGTTATTGTGAAACTGTAGAATAACCTGTGTCAATTGTCCGCCGAAACATATTCCATTGACCTAAAAGGCAATATAGTAGTAAATGTTATATGAATGGATTACTGAAAATCAATGATGACACACTCTTATTTAGTATACAGTAAACTACGGTTATAACGAACTCGAAGGGACCACTAATTTTAGTTCGTAATAACCGTAGTTCGTTATAAGCATATATACGACATTTATACAACAAATAGTCGGGACTGAAAAATAGGTTCGTTGTATCGGTCAGTTCGTTATAACCGTAGTTTACTGTATCTGATATTCGGACTTACATATACATGCATTGAGTTCAGATATGACGTCACGTATTGCAATAGTGATATACTGAAAAAACGTTATATTTTTATGAAATTGTGTGCTTAATTTTCACTACATTCATGATCAGTGGCGATCCGTGAAGGTCCTTGGTAGAATAGGTCTTCAGCAACCCATGCTTGCCGTAAGAGGCGACTAACGGGATCGGGTGGTCAGGCTCGCTGACTTGGTTGATGCATGTCATCGTATCCCAATTGCATAGATCGATGCTCCTGACATCAATCATTGGATTGTCTGGTCCAGACTCTTTTATTTACAGACCGCCGTCATATAGCTGGAATATTGCTGAGTGCGGCGTTAAACAACAAACAAATCATGATCCCGACCTTTTTGTTGTTTAGTATGTACTCTTAAAAAGGTAGGAGATCATGAATCATAAAATCATAATCATAAATCATAAATGTTAATACCAAGTAATAGAACAAAGATTAGTGTTGACGATAAACATTATGCAAGAACGTTTATGTCTGTAAACCTGAACCCCAAAACACAACCTATACCTCACGCAGTAGCGCCACACACCTGCGTAGAGCGTCATTCCTGCTTTTGACACTTACAAAGAGTGAGTGAGTGAGTGAGTTGGGTTTAACGCCGCTTTTAACAGTGTTCCAGTTATATCACGGCGTGTCAGCTTAATGTACGGAGGAAAGCCCGAAGGGATGCAGGTCTCAGACGTTTACCTTCGGTTTCTGGCGTGTTCAAGGGACGTAACTCTTCATAGCGAACGCCGCGATTCGCTGTGCAGAGTTGCGTCCCTTGGGCATGCCAGAAACCTTCGATTGTGGGTTCGAATCCCGGTTCGCCCCGATTATGTTTCTAGGTTTGTCAGCACCATACCCGTGCTCGTGGGTTTTACAAAAGTTGTAAGCGTCTGAGACCTGCATCACTTCGGGCTTTCCTCCCACATTAAGCTGACACGCCGCGATATAACTGGAATACTGTTAAAAGCGGCGTTAAACCCAACTCACTCACTGTACTCGAAATCATAGTAGAAAACACATTGTGTCTCTTATCTATTTATAAATAATTGTGAGAGTAGAAATCGATCTAATGTGTGAAATGTACAATTTAGTGTTATTTTCTTTGGAATCCCTCGCCTATTTATAAAATATATTTATGTGATTTTCGGATTATAAACAGGTTTCCATATTCTACTATTTGAAAGAAGGAAGGAACATCTAATCAACATTTACAAATAGTCTCCTGTATCCACACGTGTGAGAAAATATGCGAGGATCATTATCCTTTATTAACTGTTCAATAGAATGTCTTTTTATTAATTGTGATTTAAGCAGGACCCGGTCGGGACACGGAGAAAGTAGCTTATCATATCAGTGGCTTGTGGCCTATCTAACGAACAGAAACGAGTGCAGGTCATATCTTCTGATTTAGATATGACAATATCAAGTATTGGTCTGTCTGTCGCCCTTTGGGATCTCTATTCTCTAGTTTTACAAGTTATTTGTCCTTACAGGTTTTGTGTTAAAACATGCAAACAAATAAATCATGCATGTATTCTAACTGGTGTGTACTTATATTCAGTATGATTTAAGCAAAGGGCTTAATGAATATGCATGGTTCACCAAGTATTCCTGTGTCATGTACGTAGACTAACGTAGGGAGTATGCCTGTTTATCTACCACCCATCCCTCGGCAGGTGTGTTATGTACGAAGACTAACGTAGGGAGTATGCCTGTTTATCTACCACCCATCCCTCGGCAGGTGTATTATGTACGAAGACTTACGTAGGGAGTATGCCTGTTTATCTACCACCAACCCCTCGGCAGGTGTATTATGTACGAAGACTTACGTAGGCAGTATGACTGTTTATCTACCACCCATCCCTCGGCAGGTATATTATGAACCTTGACATATCCATCACTGGGGTGTCTTTAGCAAATATTCAACAGATGACACAGTTACATTGCTCTCCGAGCGGTCCATGTACTCGAAATTGTAAGTCACTACAGCAAGAACGTATTATGCTGCACACATGGTCCATTGACTCTTGGAGTTCAGGGACAGAGGAAGCTGGGTTGGGGATCGGTTGGAATCTAGAGACAGAGAAAGCTGAGTTGGGGATCGGTTGGAATTCAGGAACAGAGAGAGCTGAGTTGGGGATCGGTTGGAATTAAGGAACAGAGGAAGCTGAGTTGGGGATCGCTTGGAATTTCGAGACAGAGGAAGCTGTTGGGGATCGGTTGGAATTCAGGGACAGAGAAAGCTGAGTTGGGGATCGGTTGGAATTCAGGGACAGAGAAAGCTGAGTTGGGGATCGGTTGGAATTCAGGAACAGAGAGAGCTGAGTTGGGGATCGGTTGGAATTCAGGGACAGAGAGAGCTGAGTTGGGGATCGGTTGGAAGTCAGAAACAGAGGAAGCTGAGTTGGGGATCGGTTGGAATTTAGAGACAGAGGAAGCTGAGTTGGGGATGGGTTGAAATTTAGACACAGAGGAAGCTGAGTTGGGGATCGCTTGGAATTTAGAGACAGAGAGAGCTGAGTTGGGGATTGGTTGGAATTGAGGAACAGAGGAAGCTGAGTTGGGGATCGGTTGGAATTTAGAGACAGAGAAAGCTGAGTTGGGGATCGGTTGAAATTTAGACACAGAGGAAGCTGAGTTGGGGATCGGTTGGAATTTAGAGACAGAGAGAGCTGAGTTGGGGATTGGTTGGAATTGAGGAACAGAGGAAGCTGAGTTGGGGATCGGTTGGAAGTCAGGGACAGAGGAAGCTGAGTTGGGGATCGGTTGGAAGTCAGGAACAGAGGAAGCTGAGTTGGGGATCGGTTGGAATTTAGAGACAGAGAAAGCTGAGTTGGGGATCGGTTGGAAGTCAGAAACAGAGGAAGCTGAGTTGGGGATCGGTTGGAATTCAGAAACAGAGGAAGCTGAGTTGGGGATTGGTTGGAATTCAGGAACAGAGAGAGCTGAGTTGGGGATCGGTTGGAATTCAGAAACAGAGGAAGCTGAGTTGGGGATCGGTTGGAAGTCAGAAACAGAGGAAGCTGAGTTGGGGATCGGTTGGAGTTCAGGGACAGAGAAAGCTGAGTTGGGGATCGGTTGGAATTTAGAGACAGAGAAAGCTGAGTTGGGGATCGGTTGGAATTTAGAAACAGAGGAAGCTGAGTTGGGGATCGGTTGGAATTTAGAGACAGAGGAAGCTGAGTTGGGGATCGGTTGGAATTCAGAAACAGAGAAAGCTGAGTTGGGGATCGGTTGAAATTTAGAGACAGAGGAAGCTGAGTTGGGGATCGGTTGGAATTTAGAGACAGAGAAAGCTGAGTTGGGGATCGGTTGGAATTTAGAGACAGAGGAAGCTGAGTTGGGGATCGGTTGGAATTTAGAGACAGAGGAAGCTGAGTTGGGAATCGGTTGGAATTTAGAGACAGAGGAAGCTGACTTGGGGATCGGTTGGAATTTAGAGACAGAGGAAGCTGAGTTGGGGATCGGTTGGAATTTAGAGACAGAGAAAGCTGAGTTGGGGATCGGTTGGAATTTAGAGACAGAGAAAGCTGAGTTGGGGATCGGTTGGAATTTAGAGACAGGGGAAGCTGAGTTGGGGATCGGTTGGAATTTAGAGACAGAGGAAGCTGAGTTGGGGATCGGTTGGAATTTAGAGACAGAGGAAGCTGAGTTGGGGATCGGTTGGAATTTAGAGACAGAGGAAGCTGAGTTGGGGATCGGTTGGAATTTAGAGACAGAGGAAGCTGAGTTGGGGATCGGTTGGAATTTAGAGACAGAGAAAGCTGAGTTGGGGATCGGTTGGAATTCAGAAACAGAGGAAGCTGAGTTGGGGATTGGTTGGAATTCAGGAACAGAGAGAGCTGAGTTGGGGATCCGTTGGAATTCAGAAACAGAGGAAGCTGAGTTGGGGATCGGTTGGAAGTCAGGAACAGAGAAAGCTGAGTTGGGGATCGGTTGGAATCCAGGGACAGAGGAAGCTGAGTTGGGGATCGGTTGGAAGTCAGGAACAGAGGAAGCTGAGTTGGGGATCGGTTGGAGTTCAGGGACAGAGAAAGCTGAGTTGGGGATCGGTTGGAATTTAGAGACAGAGGAAGCTGAGTTGGGGATCGGTTGGAATTTAGAGACAGAGGAAGCTGAGTTGGGGATCGGTTGGAATTCAGGAACAGAGAGAGCTGAGTTGGGGATCGGTTGGAATTTAGAGACAGAGGAAGCTGAGTTGGGGATCGCTTGGAATTCATAGAAAGGGGAAGCTGAGTTGGGGATCGGTTGGAATTCAGGGACAGAGGAAGCTGGGTCAGTGATCGGTTGCAATTCAGGGACAGAGGAAGCTGAGTGAGGGATCGGTTGGAATTCAGGAACAGAGAAAGCTGAGTTGGGGATCGGTTAAAATTCAGAAACAGAGGAAGCTGAGTTGGGGATCGGTTGGAATTCAGGGACAGAGGAAGCTGGGTCAGTGATCGGTTGCAATTCAGGGACAGAGGAAGCTGAGTGAGGGATCGGTTGGAATTCAGGAACAGAGAAAGCTGAGTTGGGGATCGGTTAA